AAGAAGAAGAAGAAGAAGAAGAAGAAGAAGAAGAAGAAGAAGAAGAAGAAGAAGAAGAAGAAGAAGAAGAAGAACAACAACAACAACAACAACAACAACAACAACAACAACAACAACAACAACAACAACAACAACAACAACAATAACAACAACAACAACAACAACAACAAGTTAGAACAAGAACAAGAACAAGAAAAAGAGCAACAGCAACAACAAAAACAACAATAATAACAACAATGACGACAACAAAGACTACAATTATAATACATGTACTTACAAGAAAAATAAACCTATGTTATGTCCTAGAAAACTAAGAGTCCTCGCGAAGGCAAACACAACTTCACAAACAAATTTAGTGTAACTCCCTTTACCAGCATGTGTACAATATAATTTACAACTTCGGTTCCCGTGGACAACCAACGTTGTCCTATGTTAGGTGCACGCCGATATCGTGCACATATTATTCAGGCTCTGCCGATTTACAAAGTACATCTCTCTACATGTAGATAAGCCATTAACTGGGTAAATCAAGGAATATAAGGTTAAGAATATTTCCCATGAATTCAAATTTTCTTTCTGGTTTTCTTTTTCTTTTTTGGTTGTGTTGGGGTTTTGTTAGTTTGTTTGTTTTTGTTTGCTTGTCTGCTTGTTTGTTTTGTTTTTGCTTTGTTTTTAAAAAAAAAGTAATTTAGGCCCCCATTGACACAATTTAGATAATGCAGGAGGCAGACTTCCGACCCTGTCATGGCCAACCCGGGCTACGAGGGATACAACATCCCATCAGAAAGACAGAGATACTCGATAAAAAAAAATATTCCCACACGGGAATCGAGCTCAGGTCTCATGAGTGGGCCAGCGAGGCGCTGAACTGCTGCACCACTAACGGAGCCTGGACTTGAACTCAAAACCTTTTAGTTACAGTTCCGACACCACACCGCTGGACCAGGACACGTATAACCGGCACATTTTGGCTAAAACGTGAAGCATTCTTGTTCTCACAATCTAATAT